ATGCGAGGTCGAAACTGCAGTCCACCCTAGATGAGAACAACTTTTCGAAAAGCAAAGCCATGTGAAATTTAATTAAAAAGTCAGCTCTACTCATATGATTGTGGTAAAATTCTACTACCAGTCCTTCATCACCTTAAGCGAAATAGGGTAAATACATCTCATATTGTCTATTGTAAGTATTTGAAAACAATTCAATAAATTGGTTAAACCGCTAGCAAGTTAGGGAGAGAAAAAATCTGAATTTCTAAAAAAAATGGAATAGTGGCTTGAATGCAAATAAGCTTAACGATTATTCGAAAAAATGGTCCAAAATAAATAGCGAATTCAGAAGCCTAATTTCAGTGTGTTTACAGTACCGAATCTCCTCAGCAGGAGGCACAATTCATGTCAATTCTTCAGATGCATCGAAAAAGAATGATTAAGTTACATGAATACGAAAGCAAGCGAACGGTTCCCATCAAAATTGAAATATCATAAATGTACCTATCTTACACACAAATCAATAACTCAGTCTTATCACTCCCGTAAAAGATATGATGGTGTGGAAGAAAACAATCGGCACACTAAAGCTACTAAATGCATTCGCACCTAGAAGTTGGCAACTAGACTCATTAAGATATTAATAATGGCTATCCTGTTTAAGATATTTATACTAGTTTGTCCTACACAAGTTACGATAACCTTCTGCTTCGCCCCATAAGTACTAGGAAAAAGAGTTGGGGTCCTGATTTATCATAGCAATAACGTTTAGGTACAGAATAGGAAACCTTTAGCTCCTAGTCACCCTTGGTTAATGATGAAGTCCGCCTTATAAGGAAGATTGTTTTTTCACTGACCTAAGTGCATTTAACTTTCATTATCTCACGTAGGCCAAACTTCTGAACGAATTCACCTTAAAAACTTTCTCAGGAAAGTAAGCTCCATTGCTAGTCCCTTCCACATTTGTATTTTACTAACAAGACCAAACACTACTTTAACTAATTTCTTGCAATATTTTCTTGTGAAAAATAAATCAAGAGAGATACTGTCTAAATCCGATGGATTTTCCGATTAGGAATCATTGGAAAACTGGGTCCTTCTGCTCTGGTCAAAACGAAGACAAAATTCGTTCAGATGATCGGAATCCCTACTCGAGTAAAGCATACTTACATACTTTATCCGTGTTACATCAATGATCAGGTTATCAGGCATCCTCATTCACTTCAAATTAATGAGAGATTATCCCGCCTTATATAGACCAGAAGGTACATAATTATGGTACTTAATTGGCCGTCTGAAATCTATTGTAGTAAAATCAAATTTGAATGTAATTATTTTGAGTTAGATTCATTTGAAGTCTATGGAAACCGAAAAAATACCTTACTTTAAGCGCCTGTCCACGCAAGTTGCAGGCTGCTCGTACTCTGGCTAGTCTACGTCCCACTGCTGATTGGACCAATGGAGGTTCAGAATGTGAGTTTGAAAAATTGTGTGAAGATGCCAATTTGCTTCCACCCTGCCGGGTCCAACGACGCGATGCGATGCTAGTGCTAACTGTATCAGTATCTGCTGGGCTAGAAGAAGTGGGGCCGTCTCTTGAACACTCAACCAATTTGGCCCAAAGGCCCTCACGTCCTTCCAGCTGATGTACTAGAGCCTGTTTAGGATGTTTTAAATGCACACTTAAATAGATTTCAATAAATCAGTCGAATTTAACTCTAAACAAGCAAAAAAATTTATTACAAAATTAGAAAAGTAATTAGAATCT